TGTATGTATGTATGTATGTATGTATGTATGTATGTATGTATGTATATACATACACCTACCTTGTCAAGACCACAAGACCAGTAGTCCTAATGGGGACCAAAGACCGGTCCTAATATGGTGGAACTCCATTTTTGGGTTGGGGGTTGGGTTTAGGACCAAGGTATGAATCGAGTTTAGGTTAGTTTTAGGGTCAGATAGGTACCTGTGAGGTTAGCCTTAGGGTTGGTGGTCAGGGTTAGGCTGTAGAAATTCCTGGAAATGAATGGAAGTCAATGAACGGTCCAAATAAGGATAGAAATACAAACCTGTGTGTGTGTTAATATCAAGGTCATATGGTTCAGCTCCTATCTTTCAGATGGGTCTTTTTTTTAGTAAATATGAATACTTACTCCTCTCAGATCCAACTATGGTGTCCCCAAGGGTCTATCTTAGGTCCCTTACTTTTTAATCTATGTATTGCTGCCACTGGGGGGGATCATCAGGAGTCATGGAATAAGCTTCCACAGTTATGCTGATGGCACGCAGCTATATATCTYCATGYCTCGTGATGACCCCCAGCCAGTTGCTGTACTTCTTAATTGTATTTCTGACATAAAGACATGGACGGATCAGAACTTTCTCCAATTTAATCAGGACAAAACTGAAGTTCTAATTATTGGACTGGAGGATCAAAATAAAAAGATAATTTCAAAATTACAAGCTGCGTCTTTTTATCCTTCCAAACAAGTCAGAAGTCTGGGGGTTATTTTTGACTCTGAGCCTACTTTTATTCCACATCTTAAACAGRCTGTTTAAACAGGATTTTATCATTTGAAAAATATAGCCAGAGGCCCTCTTCTGTCCTTGGCCAATACTGAGATTTTGATACATGCTTTTATTTCTAGTTGTTTAGATTACTGTAACGCACTGCTTTCTGGTCTTCCTAAGAAAAATCTGTCTAGTCTGCAGCTGTTGCAAAACTCTGCTGCGCGTGTGCTAACCAAGAYCAGAAGGCAGGCTCATATTACACCTGATTTTTTAAAATCATTGCACTGACTCCCTGTGCATCTTAGAATTGATTTTAACGTTCTTTTAATGGTTTTTAAATGTCTTAATCGTCTTGCGCCATCTTATCTGGCTGAACTGTTATTATCCTATGAACCGCCACGAACCCTAAGATCCTCTGGCACTAGACTATTAACTGTTCCAAGAGTCAGAACACACACATACAGAGAGGCTTCTTTTCAGTTCGATGGCCCTCGTCTGTGGAACGGTCAGCCTGAAAATGTGAGGGCTGCAGAGAGTGTTGCAATCTTTAAGAGCAGGCTTAAGACACATCTTTTTAATTGTATTCGTTGAACTGTATCTTTCTTGATCATTACATTTTTTAATGAGCGTTTTTATTATATCGATCTCCCKCACCCTTCTTCCCCCATTCGTGAACAAGATCCCCAGATACTTAAACTCCTCCACTTGAGACAGGGCGACCCCCCTGACCCGGAGAAGGCACTCTACCCTTTTCCGGCTCAAGACCATGGCCTCGGATTTGGAGGCACTGAGCCTCATCCCGGCCGCTTCGCACTCGACTGCGAACCACTCCAGCGAGAGCTGCAAATCTCGTTCCGATGAAGCCAATGTAAGGACTTACTCTATGAAATTAAGAACCAGCTCAGTCTCACAAAGTAATCTTACGCAAGATCTTTTG